GGAAAGGAAAGTCAGTCAACGTTGGAATGTCATACTTCATTTACTTTCATGATCGGGGCATTCTTTACATGAAGTTGAGAGTGCGGTTCTGATTTCCGTTTGTATGCTATTAGTGAGGAGTACTATACTGTTTTTTAAGGCAGTTTACAGACACGTGGCAAGTGTAGCGTGTAGTTACCTGTTTCCTTTCCACAGAGTAATGGCTCATTTATCAACCTCAGAAGGAACTAAGACAAGTGATCCCGACACGGGCTTGAATTCAGAACCCCCCATTGGTCTGGAGCAGTGCATGTTAAATTTCGTGCTCAAGGGAATTCACGAATAAGACAAATACTGCTCTTCAGCGGAATCCAACCCGGCACCTTCGCATCCCGAAGCAACTCTCTTAGACAACTGTGCTAAGGCGCCGCCGAATATAAATACAAACCCTGTAATTTAAGGTATAATATGGCTAAAGTAGCTTCAAATATTATTATAGAGTAGGATACCCCCAGTACAGTAGCAAATCCATCACTTTTAGCTCATTGAATGACAAAATCGTAACTCTAAACATAATGCCAGAACTATCTCTTTCTTTCTCTAACAGTGATAATGCAGTACGATCTAGTAGTATTTACTGGAATAGCACAATTTTCTACTCTAATATAGTAAGAAACCACCAGGGGGCAATAAGTTTTTGGCTTACGATCATTGCACTGTTATTATATTAACACTAAACTAACATATAACAGTGGAGAATGGTACAATATAATATACATATATGGCTAGATCTACCTTCAGAGGCATTATGCAAGGATTGCGCACAATAATAAACGCACTGTCTTTGGCGCATTTTCTGCATAATTCTAGTAAAGAACTCAATCTTAATATTCAGCACAAAATATATTTCGCAACAATGAGTTTATTCATACCGTGTATATTCGTGTTGACCACTTCCTCGACGACGCAGTTCAACTCCTGTTTGCTGATCTGGCGGATGTACATGCGCTCTTCGACCGTTCCCTATACGGTTATTATCGAAATTACTGTCATGCACCCATTCGTTCCCTTTATCCTTACGGCCGTCAGCAATCTGTAAACGTGGCATGTTCGTTTCTGGTTCTGGCCATCCCTCCAAATGCGTGCCATCGTTTGAATGTCATAAGTCGGGTTCCAGTCGATGTCGTACAAAACGAGGCGGGTGGCACCGATTAGGTTCAATCCTATGCCGCCTAGAAGCACAAAACGACGAAGTCCTCCTCTCTTTTCATAAACCACAAACACCAAAGCATTAATTTTCGAAACCATACCGCATTTGGTGCTCAGCAAAAATATCAAAGTTCTGTCAGAGCGGTCGTTAAAGCTGTTGACCAGTTTTTGGCGATGCTCCGCGCTAACCGCACCGTCTAGACGATAGTAGCTGTATCCAACGCTTACGCAGTACGATTCGATAATGTTCAGTGTCTAAAAGACGTCAGTTTGATTAATGATAAACATTTCTTAAAAGACCTCTTTCGATTCTGAGCCCATATTTAATCAGTTGTATATTTTACGTTTTGTTTAATAATATATATTTAAAATCAATAGGACGTAACGAAACAAAGGTACAGGGAGGAGTGCAACAGGATAAAAAAAATATCATTTAATTA